CCCGATGCCCAGGGGACTCACCACCAGCAGGTCGTTGAAGAGGAAGACCTCGCGCTGGTGCAACCCCAGACGCTGGGGCCGGTTGGGGTCGGGGACCTCGTAGAGCTGGCAGCAGCACACCAGGCGCCGGTGGGGCAGGGAGAGGACCTGGGGACAAGGGTGGGCTCAGTGTTGGGGCGGGGCCTGGGGGGGACACATCCACCCACCCTCCAGGCCCACCCCTTAATGGTGGTGGCGCCCTTGACATTGGCCTGTCCCATCCCTGGGGTCACCTAGAGCTTCCTCCATAGGGTCTCCTAGAGCTTCCTCCATACGGTCACCTAGAACATCCCCCATAAGTGACCTAGAACTTCCTCCATAGGGTCTCCTAGAACATCTCCCATAGGTCACCTAGAGCTGCCTCCATAGGTCACCTAGAGCACCTCCCATAGGATCTCCTAGAGCTTCCTCCATAGGGTCACCTAGACCTTCCTCCATAGGTCACCTAGAGCTTCACTCCATAGGGTCACCTAGAGCATCCCCCATAGGTGACCTAGACCTTCCTCCATAGGATCACCTAGAACATCTCCCATAGGGTCTCGTAGAGCTTCTATCCATAGGTCACCTAGAGCATCCGCCATAGGTCATGCAGAACATCCCCCAAAGGTCACCTAGAGCTTCCTCCATAGGTGATCTAGACCTTCCTCCATAGGTCACCTAGAACATCCCCCATAGGTCACCCAGAACACCCCCCATAGGTCACCTAGAGCTTCTCTCCATAGGTCCCCTAGAACCCATCCCATCCTTCGAGTGAACCCACCGGCTTCTTGCCGACGATCATGCGCTCGACGGCCTGGACCTGGGAGACGTGGTCATCGTTGGTGCGCAGCTCCCGGCTCTGGATGCGCTGGTAGATGCCCACCAGCATGTCCTAGGTCACCCAGAACACCCCCCATAGGTCACCTAGAGCTTCTCTCCATAGGTCCCCTAGAACCCATCCCATCCTTCGAGTGAACCCACCGGCTTCTTGCCGACGATCATGCGCTCGACGGCCTGGACCTGGGAGACGTGGTCATCGTTGGTGCGCAGCTCCCGGCTCTGGATGCGCTGGTAGATGCCCACCAGCATGTCCCGGGGGATGTCCTCCCCGTTGTCCCCCCCTGCCGTGACACCCGGACCCCCGCTCTAGAACCCACGTTCCGAAGCAGGGGGTGGGGACACCCCCGAGGGGACAAGGCGGGACCCCGTGGTGGTCCTCACCTCGGAGGTTCTTGATGAAGTCCTCCAGCTTCATCTTGCGCTCGGCCTTGACGCTGGGGCTGTACATGTCGGTGTTGAGGAGGATGATGGCGAAGGCCAGGATGAAGATGGTGTCCGGGTTGCGGAACTGGCGCAGCAGGGCCGCGTTACACACGCAGTAGCGTTGGCTGCGGGACAAACAATCCCCATGGCCCATGGGGTCAGGTTGTCCCACGGCCAGCCCCACGTGGCTGCGATGGCCACTGCACCCCACCGCACACCCAGTGAGGTCCAGGAGACCTTGTGTGTGGGCCACCATCGCTAATGGCCCCCTGCTCGGTCCATAGGGTCACCTAGAACATCACCCCATGGCACATGGGCCACCATGCCCAGCATCTCCTGATCCATAGGGCCACCTAGAACATCGCCAAATGGGCTACCACCCCCAGCATCTCCCTCTGGATCCATAGGGTCACCAAGAACATCACCCATGGGCCACCACCCCTACGTCTCCCTCTGGATCCAGAGGGTCACCTAGAACATCACCCCATGGACCACCACCCCTATGTCTCCTTGATCCATAGGGTCACCTAGAACATCACCCCATGGACCACCACCCCCAGCATCTCCTTGATTCAGAGGGTCACCTAGAACATCACCCCATGGGCCACCACCCCTACATCTCCCTCTGGATCCAGAAGGTCACCTAGAACATCACCCCATGGGCCACCACCCCCAGCGTCTCCTTGATCCATAGGGTCACCTAGAACATCACCCCATGGTGACCACCAGCAGCACGCTATGGCCTGGTGGTCTTCCCAGCTCCCAAGGAGATGAAGTCCCCATCACCGTCCCTCACCTGAAGGCCTCGATCAAGCGCTCGACCTTCTGGGCTTCTCCTTGCACCCGAATATGGGACTGGAACTTGCGCAAGGCCTCGTCCAGCTCCATCCCAGAGAAGTCCATCTCATCCACCACGCAGCTGCGGGAGACACCCCCCCCCGGCCCCCCCAGATCGGAGATGGCCTCTGATCCTGGGTGGACAACCCCTTCCATGGCCATGTCCCAGCATGTCCCACCACCCGCCGCTGCCTTACTCGAGGACGTCGCGGTTGAATTGCTTCTGGCGGTTGCCGAGGAACTCGCCAATCATCTGCCGGCTCAAGCCCTTCCTCTCCAGGATGAAGTGGGCCACCCCCACCGGGGTGTCCGAGAGGAAGCCCCTCTCAATCAGGTACTGGATCCCTTTCTCTGGCTTCCTACAAAGATGGTGGATGGGAGGTCACCCCCTCCTTGCCATAGCGCCACCAAGGTCACCATGTCTTTGCCATAAGGCCACCAAGGTCAACCTCTCCTTGCTCTAGGGCCACCAAGAAGGTCAACCTCTCCTTGCTATAGAGCTACCAAGGTCATCCTGTCCTTGCCATAGGGCCACCAAGGTCACCCTCTCCTTGCTATAGCGCCACCAAGGTCACCATGTCCTTGCTACAGGGGCAACAAGGTCACCCTGTCCTTGCCATAGGGCCACCACCAAGGTTACCCCATCCTTGCTATAGAGCCACCACCAAGGTCACCCTGTCCTTGCCACAGGGCCACCAAGTCAACTTCTTGCCATAGGGCCACCAAGAACGCCGCCCCATCCCTCCCATAGGCTCCCCCAAACCCTTACGCCCTCCCACTATAGGACCCCCAGACTCC